TACATTTATTTTGAAAGATGAAGCTCGCTCACTTTCCGACGAGTGCTTGCGGTGTTCAGAACAGAACAGCACAACCCAGATGTTCTAATTTGTCGCATTTTATGGACGACAGTTTTTTGAACCTAGAAGAGTACAAGGCTGGCTGTGCACAAAGGCTATTTCTGAAAAAAAAAATTATTGCAGATTGCTATGACAATCTGGCGCTTCTGAATCAGCGACTGTAAGTATGTTTTGTTATTAGTTTAAGTATTTGCTATTGACTGTTCAAATGCGGAGTTTTGCGCAGCGCAGAGTAACGCACCGTGTGTGTGACATCACAGGAGAGTGAACTGTCTGTCAGAAATCATAGCATGTCAGCTGTCTTAACCGCGGCTTGTGTACTGCATCATCACTGTGTCTGTCACGCGACTCTGTTGCCCTTTCGGGCTTGAACTGATGGTAAAACTAATGACATTATTAACCGTCTTGATATTTACTTTGAAAGCTGAAGCTCGCGATTATGGTAAGGGGCGTTACATTTCCGACGCGTGCTTGTGGTGTTCGGCCAATCACAATGCACTGGGTCAGCTGGCCAATCAGAGCAGACTGCGCTTGTCAAAGGAGGGGGCTTTGTTGAAAACGACGTGTTTGAGAGAGGCGGGGCATAGAGGACCTACAATAATGTACAGTATTTGAAAAATAATGTGTTTTTTGAACATTAAAGCATGTCAACATATTCTGTTACACCAAATACACAAAATAATGATCTTTAAAATAGCATCATATGACCCCTTTAAACGAATCGAAATGATTCAGTGAGCCATTCATAAGGCAGTCACTTGCTTCGTTTCTGAATGTATCAGGTATCAGCAGTTTGAACGAAACGATTGAATGAGAATGACTCACTTATAAAGACAGGGATTTGCCACCACCTACTGGCGCTTTTAGTTTTATATTAAAGTAGGCCTATCATTTCTTTTTTTAAATAATTTCATATTTTACTATTTATTTGTATTTTTGTATGTTGAATTAAAATATTTCTTTCTAAAGCTACTTTTTTGTAATGTCTATTCATTGTTTTTTTTTTCTAAATTAACACGATAACCATTATCTTTAATAACTTTATCTTTACTTAATCAGCATGATGTGCATGTTAAATAATTAATCTCAGTTATTTAAGATTAATCTGATTAATTAATCGGCACATTATGTAATTAATTAGATTAATTACTTAGATTAATTAGATTATGTATTAATTAATCATTTTAAAACATAAAAAAATTGAGTTTGTATCAGGCAATTCTGAGGAAAAAAAGTCATAATTGCGAGATGTAAAGTCGAAATTGCGAGAAAAAAAGGCTTCCAGGCTTTCTACCTTGATTCTGTAGGTAGCTGCTCAAATTCATTGCTGTCTTCTAATCATGTTTTCTAGCATTCATTTTCTTTGTCTTCTTCTCTGTTGTGCTTTTTTCCATTGGTCTCTCTTGCTTTGTTTCTCGCTCTCATTTCTTTAAGAAAGAGCTCAAGTCTGTAAGTTGCTCCTTTTACAACGGTTCAGTCTCAGTGAAAGTAGGATATGTTCCCATTCAAATGCTGCCTACAATAACAAAAAAAAGTTAATGGGTTAATAGCAGGGCATGCTCTGTTTTGGACAGGTCATGATGTGCCTGTGGTTAATGAAGCTTTAAGTTTTTTATAGCCTCTTGCATAGAGACATGAGAGCATCCTTATTTTCAGTACTTTCTTCCTCTAGTTCTCTCTTTTCACCCACTGGCCATGTATTTGATTGCTTCTCACTGACTGCACATGAAAATCAACATAACTTAAATTAAACAGGAACATTAAAGCATGTCAACATATTCTGTTACACCAAATACACAAAATAATGATCTTTAAAATAGCATCATATGACCCCTTTAAACGAATCGAAATGATTCAGTGAGCCATTCATAAGGCAGTCACTTGCTTCGTTTCTGAATTTATCAGGTATCAGCAGTTTGAACGAATCGATTGAATGAATGAGAATGACTCACTTATAAAGACAGGGATTTGCCACCACCTACTGGCGCTTTTAGTTTTATATTTAGAGTAGGCCTATCATTTATTTTTTTAAATAATTTCATATTTTACTATTTATTTGTATTTTTGTATGTTGAATTAAAATATTTCTTTCTAAAGCTACTTTTTTGTAATGTCTATTCATTGTTTTTTTTTTCTAAATTAACACGATAACCATTATCTTTAATAACTTTATCTTTACTTAATCAGCATGATGTGCATGTTAAATAATTAATCTCAGTTATTTAAGATTAATCTGATTAATTAATCGGCACATTATGTAATTAATTAGATTAATTACTTAGATTAATTAGATTATGTATTAATTAATCATTTTAAAACATAAAAAAATTGAGTTTGTATCAGGCAATTCTGAGGAAAAAAAGTCATAATTGCGAGATGTAAAGTCGAAATTGCGAGAAAAAAAGGCTTCCAGGCTTTCTACCTTGATTCTGTAGGTAGCTGCTCAAATTCATTGCTGTCTTCTAATGTTTTCTAGCATTCATTTTCTTTGTCTTCTTCTCTGTTGTGCTTTTTTCCATTGGTCTCTCTTGCTTTGTTTCTCGCTCTCATTTCTTTAAGAAAGAGCTCAAGTCTGTAAGTTGCTCCTTTTACAACGGTTCAGTCTCAGTGAAAGTAGGATATGTTCCCATTCAAATGCTGCCTACAATAACAAAAAAAAGTTAATGGGTTAATAGCAGGGCATGCTCTGTTTTGGACAGGTCATGATGTGCCTGTGGTTAATGAAGCTTTAAGTTTTTTATAGCCTCTTGCATAGAGACATGAGAGCATCCTTATTTTCAGTACTTTCTTCCTCTAGTTCTCTCTTTTCACCCACTGGCCATGTATTTGATTGCTTCTCACTGACTGCACATGAAAATCAACATAACTTAAATTAAACAGGTAACTGTATAAGGATTCAGTCATCAGACAAGCCATGAGTATGTTTATCTTTATAAATCATCAGCAGATGCAAACATTTTTTTTTTTTGGAAGTAACTGTTATATTTTTATCAGATTTTTTCCAAAATTCTTTCGATTTTCTCTAATACAGTATTTACTGCTAGCTGATGAATGACGCCTCATGGGTTAGTAGTAGTGTCTGACATCTAGTGGTTCATGTCTTGAGGGGGAAAACAAACAATTGTAGGACTGTTCTTTAGAGATTTTATTAATGCACATCAACATCAACACATCAACAAATGTTGATAGATAAAATACTTAGCCACATTCAAATGGTCATTTTTTGGGGGATGCTGAAGTGATCAATCTTAAACTAAGGAGAGGCATTATGGTATATCCAGGTCTGATACTGCAGCAAAAACATAACTGCATTTGCAAGTATTTGCTAGGATATTACTTTGGTTTACACTGATATTTCTAGATAAACAAACATATACCTATTTGATTCATTAATTAGTGAAATATAAATGTCCAAAATAAATGTAGATTATATATTAATAACTGTAGATAAATTTCAGATTTTCTGAACAAGATCAGTTTAATATTCAGTAATCACAGGCACTCCACTGTAAGATGCAGAAAAATCAATCCTGTAAGCCTTCACACAACACAAGCAAGTCTTTCAATGCATTATTATTAGGTAAATAAAGTCATATATTCTTAAAGTGTGCTTCAAAAATAATATTTGTATCAAAACTTACTGGATCATCACACCGGTAATCTTGAAATGTTTTCTGATTTTTATAGTATTTTACAAAATGCTATAGAGAGTGAAGGCACTTGCAAAAACTTCCCAAAAAATGTCCAAGCTCACATTTCAGAAGAAAAAAATTATTATATATCAGTAATGACAATAGTTATATTATATTATATTATATTATATCTTTTTTTTTTTTCCATTACCATACAATATGTAATATATTTCTTTTAAAATTATCATAAATTAAAATACAACAATACTACCCCTGTATATAAATATGTTTTAAAAATACAATTTAAATAATAATATATCATTATTTTCTCCCTTTTTTGCTTTACAGTAATGAGAGTTGGGGGAAATATGTCATATCAGAAATTTTTTTTTTAATGATCCTGAACACAAGCTTAATTTTCTTTAAACATTTTATCATTTACTTATTTTGGTTTTGGGATGAACTATGACCGAGACATGTTCTTGAGAGTTTTGCGAACATTGTATTAGTCACAGCATAACAGAAGAAATGTTTCTGAACATCTGATATGCTGTTGCTTTGAACTCTTTTAAAAAATCAGCTGAATCCATATAACTTTGTAAAGGGTGCGTCCTACACTAGGTTAAATATAACCCAGCGCTGGTTTAAAAAGGGACAAACCCAGCTATATAACCCAGCGGTTAGGTCAAAACAACCCAACCGCTGGGTCAAAACAACCCAATAGCTGGGTTTGTCCCTTTTTAACCCAGCATTCTTTAGAGTGTATGGTACATTTTGAGCATGACAACACCAGAAAGACTTTGGGTATCTAGGCAGGATGGTGCACAGTGTTTCTCTTTAAACTGATATTGAACCTTCCCTAAAGTTAGTTTTTCCAATCAGAACGTTCAGCAGAACGGCCTTTCCCTCTCTGCACTCCTTTTGCGCCTTTTTAATGATGTCATCAAGCTGCGACTCATCCTCTCGGCCAATCAGGTAACCTTTGCCCCCATAACCATCGGCTACAATATGGTAATCTGCAAGGAAGAGGTGGAACGGAACAGCATGTGAAGCAACTCCTCACTATGATTGATGAATATACCTTTGGAAAAGAGCTTAATCATTACATTAAACACTTTTGTGAACAATAAGACAAAGTGTTACAAATGCAGTGAACAAGAGTTTAGTGATTGCACTGCACCAAAGCCTCTCACCTGTAAAGGCCAGACCACAGGCTACGTTGCTCCCGAGCATAGGCACTTGTTCTCTGGAGATCTGACTCCAGCATGCATCATTTCCCACCAGAGCGATCACTGGGGTCTGACGTGAGACGACAAGGCAGTCGTTAGAGGTTTTCAAGAGAAAAGCAAGAGAAGCCACACAAGAATGTTTTTGAAGGAATATTCCAGGTTAAATTAGCAGCATCAAATTCCACTGAGAATACCCAAGATGGTTAAAACAATGGAGGTCTATGGGCAAGTGTGCAATTTTTCATTTTTGTCCCTTTTTTTAATTTTTGCTGCCTTTGTGCTTGTTTATATCTAAATAAAAGTCTAAATTAAATCTGTTTATCATGTCTCATACTCATATTAAGCCACTCAATTCATATGTGTTACTTGAATGACATCTTTAACTTTTTGAAGCATTAAAGTTTTGGTGTAATGGACTTTCAATGGAGGGACAGAAATGCCTCAGGTTTCATTAAAAACATCTGCATTTGTGTTTCGAAGACGAGCAAAAGTCAAGAGCAAATTTATGACATAATTTTGGGTGAACTATCCCTTTAAGAGGTTGGAAATGTTGTGCATTTTTACAAAACACATTCTACTACATTCTGAACTTGATGCTGTAAAAGTCAGTGTTTTAAGGGTTGGTACCTTGTGACGTGTGAAGGTATCAAATTCAGCCACACTATATCCGAGTGAACCATCGCCGTAAACTATCCATACCTGTAAACAAGATATTGGCTATGTTCACATGCTCCCTTATAATGTGATTAAAGGCTGTATTGTGCATAAAATGGAGAGCTTAGTGAAACTTGATTTTTTTAACAAGAAAAAATATTTGATTTAAAATCTTACCTCAGACTCAGGTCGACAAAGCTTTGCTCCCAGAGCAAAACCTCCTCCAACACCCAGAGTCCCAAAGGCCCCTAGTGAAAAGAGAAGCCACAAATCATTATGAACACAAATACTATGAGTGGATTTGACAAAACAGAGCTGGAGATTATTATGGAATTAGATTGTACCAAAAGTGAACATAACTCCAAGAATTGAACAAAAATATAATAACACTTTGAAAAAAAAAAAAAAAATGAACTCAATGGCAAAAACAAGCATGTTATATAAATAACTAATTAAATAAATAAAATAAATTTATATGAATAATTAATATTAATAAAATTATGAATCTGCTGCCACAGTTCTTTTATGCTTTCAATGTTTTTGTCATAATACATGTTATTAACCCAGTTAAGAAAATGATGTTGCTTGTCAGGACCAAAGACGAATGTATTAAAAATTATTTCAATATATATGGATATGTTGTTTTAAATGGATAAAAAGTGTGTAATGAAGTTTACAAGTGCTGTTATGTAAATTCAAAAAAGCTTGAATCATCTTACGTTGTGAGCATTTGAACAACTTGCAAAAGAATCTACAGATTCAGGCATTACAGAAGATAATCCTATGGAATCACAAACACAATAACTGTGATGGCTCTGCCTCTAACCTGGGTCCAGCCAGCGGAGCGGGCCCCGGGGTCTCATGATATATGCAGCGCTGCCGACAAAATCACCCCCATCAGCCACTATGATGCTGTCCTCAGCCAAGAGCTCATCCACACAATGCAAAACACTCAGAGGGTTCAAATGCCTCTCTGTCTTCTCATCTGCTTTTGATCTGACGGCAAAAACTGGCATAATGAGAAACTAAACAGGTAGACAACATCAAACATAGCCAAAAGTATATGGACAGACACCCCTTTTAAATATCATGAGGGAACACTGCAAATTGTTTGGATGTCCATATGTTTTGGCCAAGTAGTGTAGGCCCGATTCTCTCTCCAGAGACAATGAGTCCAAGCAGCTGAGATAAGATCACCTGTTAGCTTTCTCTTTGATGGCATCTCCCTCTTT